TTTTTTTTTTTTTTAAGAAGAGTCAATATTGAGAGAAAGCAATAGCATACTTTGTCTAAAAGCCATTTAAAATGAACTCAATTAAAAAATTAAAAAGTACCAATAAGCTCAATAAAAAAGAAATGAAATAAAAATAAAAACCATTTAAAGCTGCGCATGGTGGTGTTTATCTGTGATCCCAGCACTCAGGAGGCCGAGGCAGGAGAATCACTGCAAGTTTGAGGCTAGCCTGGGCTACATAGTGAGTTCAAGGCCAGCCTGAACTGCATAGCAAGATCCTGTTTCAAAAAACTAAAAATAAATAAGTTAAAACCATTTAAGTTAAGTTATTTTAAAAGTTTGGGTTAAATTTATTTTTTCAGATTTTATTTCTTTAGTTTCAGTTTTTTGAGACAGGGTCTTGCTGTGTAGTTCACGCTGGTCTTGAATTCACTATGTAGTCTAGGCTGGCCTCAAACTGCTGGTGATCCTCCTGCCTCAGCCTCCTGTGTGTGTGGATTACAGGCATGTACCATCATGCCTGGCTCAAATTTATTAGTCTAAAAAGTGAATCTCTTTAAGAAGGAGGCGTGGGTGATTGGGAGAATAGACTGGAAACGTAGAGATTTGGTAGCCGGTTGTTCCGTGATAACCCACTGCAATTGAAGTTGAACAGGGCTGTGTTGACTAGGATATTTTACAAAAGGAAGACATGCAGTTTCCTTACTGCTCCTTGGTACCAAGAATTAGACACACAGGGCTTGTACACTGGGGTAATGCCCCAGCCTGTTTATTTATATTTTGAGACAGGGTCTAAGTTGCTAAGTTGCCCAGGCTGGGCTCAGACTTGCAGTCAGCCTCGCAGAGTGCTGGGCTTGCAGGCAGGTGGACCACCCTGGCAGTGTTCTGTGTTTTCTGTGGCTCTGATGACTAAGTGACCACAGAAGTGAAGTACCATTGACAGAAGCTGAGAATCTGGACCAGAAATTGCTCTTGCTGTGTTTTTTTTGTTTGTTGGTTGGTTGGTTTTTGTTTTTGTACGGAGTCCCCTCTATATTAGCCCAGGCTACCGTCATATTTGAGATCCTCCTGGCTCAGCCTCCTGGGAAGGTGAGATTACAGGTTTGCAGTCACCATGCTCAGCTGAACTGCATTTAGAATGAGTTCTAAATAGTATCTGAGGTTTTATTGCTCTTAAGAATTAGACAGAAACCTACCTGCTCCTCCAAATCATAGAATGGAGCATTCTTCTGCCCTCTTCAAGAATTCTGAGAATTCCCAAGGGGCTAATGTTGGCCCCATCTGGGCTCCTGGGCTCCAGTTTGCTGTCCCTGCCCCACAGTAAATGTGACATCAGTCCATTCTTCATTTTCTCTAAAATATTCCAGTTACAGAAGGTATTCAAAGTATAGCTTTTACTAAAGATTTGTGAGGGGTACAGCCAGGTGTGGGGGTACACACCTGTGATCCCAGCACTCAGGAGGCTGAGCAAGAAGGATCGTTGCAAGTTTGAGGCCAGCCTGAGCTACATAGTGAGTTCAAGGATAGGCTGAAAGACATGAAGAGAACCTGTCTTGGAAAAAAAAAAAAGTCAGGGTTGGGGACTTAGCTCAGCGGTTGGGTGGCCTGCCTTGCAAACGCAAGGACCTGAGTTCAATCCCCGGTACCAAAAAAAGAAAAAAAAAAACAAAAGTCAAAAGTCTTCCTCTGTGAGGAAGAGGGGGAACAGAAGAAAACACAAGGACAGGACCGAGCTTTGAGGTAGGCCCAAGATTTTGTCTGACACTGAGTAGAGCAGATGAGAGGAGGAGACCCAGAACCGCCTGAGTTTTGGGAGCCGCTGGGTATGAGGGTGGAGCTCTGCTGAGTGTCTCTGAGATGGGAGAAGGCTGTGGGCGCAGGTGTTCCTGAGGTCCGCAGGGCCGGGACCTGTGAAGACTTCAGGTCGGTGGGTGCTGGGCAGGGACAGACGGAGGATGGGTGCCTGGGCCGGGAGTGGGAGATACTAACCTTGGCAGATGGAGGGTTTTTGTATTTGTTCTTTAAGTTGGGAGACCAGAATACGGGTGTAGAAGGAGGTAAGTAAGCCAGGGGAGGAGAGAAACAGAAGCATTAGGAAAGAAGGACGGGAGAGGGCAGCTGTTGCAGAATTCAGTTCATCCTGGGAATGTCACCGATTAGTCATGCGATACATGTTCTGGTTTTAAAAAATAAAATGCAAAGAGAAAAGAATGGTTACTGGTGACGTCTCAGATCAAGCAGAGGCAGAGTTGGCTGTGGTGGCACACGCCTGTAATCCCAGCTATTCGGGAGGCTGAGGCAGGAAAGTCACAAGTTCAAGGCCAGCCTAGGCAATTCAACAAGACCTATCTCAAACTAAAACTTAGAAGGGCTGGAGATGTAGCTCAGTGGTTTCTATTTCAGTCCCAGGATTGGGGGACAGGGGAAGCAGAAGCATTTGGGAATGAGAATTTCGGTGAAGAAGTTGACTTGGAATGGGGGAAGGAGGAGTATGTATAGCATTAGAAATACAGGGAGGTCGTAGGGTATCAAACTATAATAATAGAGAAGAATTTGCCAGTGCCACCAAGTAGAAGGAAGACAGGCACGGTGGTTGGGGTGGGAGACTTGAGAATGTGGGGAGGATTTGTGTCCTTTGTTATGTGCTTGGATTCACATACTGAAGCTACAGCTGCCAACAGTATGTTGTTCTGGCTCAGAATAGAACAGAGTCCTTATTAGATATATAGTGTGATAAAAACATTTCAAATTCTGGGGTAAATGGAATATTCAAGAAATAGATTTAGGGCTGGGGATTTAGCTCGGTAGCCCAGCACAAGGTCCATAGTTCAATCCCTGGTACCAAAGTAAATAAATAGATTTAGTAAAATTTTCTATATGTGAAAAAAATTAAATCCTTATCCCACACAGTGCATAACCACAAATTCCAGAGGTAAAAACACTCAACTTGAGTGAGGGAAGGAAAAAAAACGGGGAGAAGCAACATAAACTGGAAAGAAAATTAGAGAATATTGTTGTCAGTAGGGAAACAGTTAATTAAATCTGGTAATCTGCACACAGCACAGCTCTGCACTTGGGGAACCCGACACTGCCTCTTTCTGTGTGACCTTGGAAAGTTGCTTAGCCTTTAATGCTTCATTTTCTTCCCCTGTAAAATAAAAATGCAGACCCATAGGGCTGTGAGAAATAACCCGCATGGCGCTCATTAGTACTGTGCTTGCCCTCAGCAAGAAGGCTGGATAATACGATTATTAACCCTGTGTGGCCATTAAAAGCAACGAGGTCCGGCCATAAGTACAGATATGGAAAGATGCCTACGAGTACATTTGGTAGGAAAGCAAATTGCACATTGATAATGTGAACCATCCCCCCCTTTTTTTCCCAAAATAAAGCAAAACAAAACCTGGATGTTTTGAGTATGTGGAGAAAAATCTGGAAGGCCACCGCCCAGTTGTTATGCCATTACTTGTCATGGAATGCAGTTGTGTTATTATCTTTAAGTTGTATCATTCTATGTATTATTTGTAAAGAACTTTTACTACTTATGTTATTTTTTAAAATAAAAGTATGAATGAAGCTGGGCATAGTGGCACATGCTTATAATCTGGGAGGCGGAGGCATAGGGATCATGAGTGCAAGGTCATTGCACAATTTAGTGAGACTGGGTCAAAATAGAAAATAAAGGCCTGGGGATGAAGCCCCGGGTTCAGTCCCCAACCTCAAAAATAAGTGAATGAGGGGGCCGGGGATTTAGCTCAGTGGTTCTGCCACCTTCCTTGCAAGTACAAGGACCTGAGTTCGATCCCCGGTACCCCCATCCCCAAAAAAAGAATGAGTGAAAGACACAAGCAGCTCTGTAGCATTACAGGGCTGAGCTGAAGATTGATTACAGGTCTTGCCATAAAAACTCCCTCTTAGTATGTAGTAGTGACTGAAATCCAAAATTTGCTTGTAAAATATAAAGTTTTCATGACTTCAAAAGTTTAAACTTTTTGGTTCGGAATTATGCCATGATAGTAAACAAAGGACTCTTACTTAGAAGTCTAAACAGTTTTGTTTTGTTTTTTTTCCCCTAAGCCTGTTTATGTAGTCAAGCATATTTCAGTGATTTCATAGATTTGGAATGAAGTTATTTTAAAGTTGAATTTTTTGTTTGTTAACATTCAGGGTGCCCATCAACATAGAGCTGCAGGAAAGTGAGTTAAATTGTCCTTTGTAGTATGGTGGTGTGTCTCATGGTAATTTGGTAGCAGATGTCATAGTATCTCATGGAGGCAGACATAATTTAGGGAATCTGTTAACCAATAATTTCACCGTGCTATTAGGAATATGCCCCAAAAGTTTAAATTTAAAATGATTAGGTAGGGCTGGGGATTTAGCTGAGGGATTCCGCTGCCTGCCTCACAAGCGCAAGGTCCCTAGTTCGATCCCTGGTACAAAAAAAAAAAAAAAAATTGATTAGGTAACTCATTTGACATAGTGAATTCTAAATGAGATTTTTCTTATTGTTCACATAATCAGAGTCAACTAGTTGTATTTGTCTTTGTGGAGAGTTGAAGTTAATCTATTGATTTGGAACTCTGGCTTCAAAAGTGGCCTCTGGGAGGATGGGGTTTCCTCCATGTCATACAGACCTGGGTGGACTTGTGCTGAGTTCCTGGAAAGCCAGGAAGTGCTGAGAGTGACTAAGATGAAGTCAGATGCTAAGGAGTAGCATCCCACACAGCAGCCACAGGGCAATCATGGCTGCAGAGAACTTAATGTGCCCGCTTTGACCCAAAATGAGTGAGAAATATGCGTCCGATCTTGAAGATTCAGTATAAGCAAAGGACCCGAGTTCAATCTCCAGTAACAACAACAAAAAAATACAAGTGAAAATACTGAAACTGAACCAGGCATCTAAAGTGGGAAGCCTAGAACTATGGATGAAGACATCAAAGGGCAGTTGGTTACTGCCTTGTAAGTTATTTAAGACAATGGAACACCAAGTGTGATCATTTTTTGGAGAAAAAACAGTAGGTGTCTTGATGGATATTTTTTGAGTGAACAAAAGTAGGATCTGGATACCTTGTGTAAACTAACTTCACTGGATGTTTGCTGCTATCAGCTTATTTCAAATGACTTAAAAAAAAAAATGTAGAGTTGGCCAGGCATGGTGGCGCACGCCTGTAATCCCAGCACTCAGGAGGCTGAGGCAGGAGGATTGCTGTGAGTTGAGACCAGCCTGGGCTCCATAGTGAGTTCCAGGTCAGTCTCAACTACACAGTGAGACCCTGTCTCCAAAAAACCAGAAAAACAACGTAGAATCTCAGTGTGTGGCCCAGGCTGGTGTACAACTTCTGAGTTTGAGCAATTCTCCTGCCTCAGCCTCCTGAGCAGCTGAGATTATAGACATGCACCACCATGCCTGGAAAAATAACATTTTAATTCTTAATCATTACTACTATAGCTGAGTTGATTTTTTTATAATTAATTTTTTCTCCACATTTTGGCTTAGAAAAGCTTGGTATAATTTTTCCCTAAAGACAATTTCTCCTTCCTTCCTTTCCTTTCTTTTCCCTCTTTCCTCTCCCCTCCCTTCTTCTCCTTCCTTCTCTCTCCTTCCTCTTCCTCTTCTTCCTTTTCTCTGTCTGTCTCTCTATCTCAGCTGAGATTTGAACCCAGGGCCTTGTGCATGCTAAATCATGCTCTATTGAGTTATACCCCTAGCGTTTAATTGATATCTTATTTTGTGGGTTTTTTTTTTTTTTTTTTTAGACAAGGTCTCACACAGTTCAGGCTGGCCTTAAATTCACTGTGTTGCCCAGGCTAGGCTTGAACTCAGAGCAGCTCTGCTTCAGCCTCTAAGTATGCAACACCACACCTAGCTATTTTGGTTTTTTTAAAGATTACTTCTTAAAGAGAGATGTTAATTTTTTGGAGAAGTGTGCCAAATCTTTAGGATATGTTATTGTTCTTTTTAATGAAGGGGAACTTTCTTTTTTATAATAAAAATGATAGCCAGGTACAATGCTAGTAATCCCAGCACTCTAGGAGGCTGAGACAGGAAGATCACAAGTTTGAGTCTACCATGGGCATTTTAGCAACTTAGTAAGACTGTTTTATAAGAAAAAAATAAATAAGAAAGGCCTGGGAATATAGCTTAGTGTGAAGGCCTTAGGCTCAATCCCCAGTCCCACAAAAAAAAAAGTAAACAAACAAATAAATAAATAATAGGTGGGCACTTTGATATATACCTGTGATCTCAGCCCTCTGGGAGGCTGCAGCAGGAAAACACAAGTTTGGGGTTGGGGATTTAGCTCAGTGGTGCTGCTGCCTGCCTCACAAATGCAAGGTCCTGAGTTCAATCCCCAGTACCAAAAAAAGAAAAAGTAAATACAAGTTTGAGCCCAGCCTGGGCAGTTTAGCAGTTTAACAATACTCTGTTTTATACTGAAAATTAAAAAAAGGCTGAGGATTTAGCTCAGTGCAAAGGCCCCAGTACCAAGCCAAAAACTAAACCATACTTCCTATTAATGGACATATATACAATTTATTGTGGTTTTTTGTTGTTGTTGTTTAAGACAGGGTCTCACTTTGTAGTTCAGGCTGGGCTTGAATTTGCAGTGATCCTCTTGTCTCAGTCTCCTAAGTGCGGGGATTGCAGGTGTGTACCACTACCCCTGGCTAGGAAGTATTTTATTTCGGGTACTGGGGATTGAACTCCGCCCTTTCACTTGCAAGGCAGGCAGTGGAACCACTGAACTAAATCCCCTACCCTAGGAAGTATTTTAGATGGAGACTTTAACAGCTGCGTGTGGTCATCCCCACTGGCATCCTGCTGAGAGCTGAGCTGTGCTCCCGTGTCTTGGTCTGGACATACGGCCTCTAGACACTTTGAGGTACTCTGGAAATTGAAGTAAAATTGTTTGTTTCATGAATAT